CCGGCAGCCCCGCTCCGCTCCGCAGCTCTCCCTGCCCACTTCTCACTACCACACTGGTGGGCAGCAGCCCCGGCCTCCGCCCCGTACTTCGGCCCTTGCATGCAGCATGATCCCGCGACCGCTCCGCATTGGCTCGGGTTGCCGACAGCCGCGCGTCCCCGTGCTGGACTAACCTGATGTGTGTTTGTGTGTTCCAGTTGCTTGGTTTTCTTTCGATCCCGCCTCTGCCCACGCTGACATCATCTTTTCTAATGACAACCTGACTGTCACCTGCAACAGCTATGATGACAGGGTTGTGCTGGGGAAAACGGGCTTTTCCAAAGGGCTCCATTACTGGGAGCTCTCGATCGATCGTTACGATAACCACCCTGACCCGGCCTTCGGCGTGGCACGCATCGATGTCCTGAAGGATGCCATGCTGGGCAAGGACGACAAGGCCTGGGCCATGTACGTCGACAATAACCGGAGCTGGTTCATGCACAACAATTCGCACACCAACAGGTACGTGGTCTGAAACACAGGAGAGACCGCAGCCCAAGGAAGAGCCCGTGGCTTTTCCAGTGGCACCTGCAGTTGCCCCTGAGAAGGGTGACGTCGCTTCTCATCGCTCCTGCATACAACCCCGACCCCAAACGCCCAGAGCCTTGCAACTTGTGCAACCGGAAAACGCCATTTGCCTTTATCCCTGTGCCACAGCTATTGCTCCCTTTCCTTGTGGAGCAGTGGGGCTGGCTGGGGGCTTTGAAGCTTGCAGGAGCTTGGGGAGATCTTGGTGTCAGCTTCCTACAGCTTCAAGGTCTATTTCCCGATGAGCCAAGCAGATTTTGAGGCTTTGCTCCTCAGGTCTCCGTGGTGTTGCTGCTCTGTAGGGAGCCTTGTTCTCGGGCACATCACAGCAAGCAGAGAACGTCTCTGCAAGAGGCTTAAGGAGGAGGTGCTGGGATGGGTGCAGGTCATGGACGGGCTCCTGGATGAGCTGTGAAGGTCAGCATCATCAGCCCTTGAGGTGCATGGCCTGAACCCTGAGCCGGGAGCACGAAGGACATCAAGCCACAGCGATGCTCTGATCTTTTTCTCCCTCCTGCAGAACCGAGGGTGGGATAACGAAAGGCGCCACAGTGGGAGTGCTGCTGGATTTAACCAGGAGGACCTTGACGTTCTCCATCAACGAGGACCAGCAAGGCCCTGTCGCCTTCGAGAACCTGGAGGGCCTCTTCTTCCCCGCAGTCAGCCTCAACAGGAACGTGCAGGTACGTGCTTTGACCATGCTGCTGCCACTGCAGTGTGTATCGGTGCTCAGCAGCATGGGGACTTTGGGGAATGAGGAGGGCTCTTGTGCAGCAGGGGTGGCTTGGCTAAACTCAGACCCTGAACCACCTGTGAGCCTCTGAAAAATCAGGACAGGCCTCCCTGCGGCCGCAGCTGCTGCCTCCGGCTCCTCGCTCTGGGTTTCTCCTGAAGCGCCAGGATACTGTGATACTGTGATTCTCCAACCCTCTCTGGCTGACAACTCCATTTCGTAAGGCCACCCCACAAGGGCCCCACCAGCCCTTACAGCTCTCCCATGGCCTGAAGAGGAGTGTTACCAGGGAGAAGGGCACCTTTTAAGGCCTGTTTTCCTTGGGGGAATTTCAGAGGAGAACTCTGGAAACGTTTCTCCCTCTCTCCCAAGCTCTCGGCTCTCCTGACCATCACCAAGCGGTGGCTCCTTGGGCCTATCCGGTATTTTCATCTTTCCTTTTTCTCCTCACTCATCTCATCCCTGCTATCCTCTCCCCAGCGCTCACCAAGCCTTGGCACATCTCCTCTCCCACCGCCTGCACCTCCAGCACTCCACAAGTGCCTGGGGATGTCCTAGGACACGTTGCACATCGTGAATGACTCGGTTTTAGAGGCTGGTGTGTTAAATCCTGCTCTGTGTTGGGTTTAATTCCAACCACAATCTTCTATGCAGCCCTAAAAGGCATGTTTCTAGAGCCCCTCCGCTTTCTGATGGTTCTTTGGGCAAGGCAGAGCTGAAATCCCCTGACAACAGAGAAGTCCCGTGGGATGCTGATAAAAGGCTGCTACTAAACCCAAGCCATTCGTTATCCTTCTTCAAAGGTGTCTGAGTAATTAAAAAGGACGCTAATTAGGAGGGAAATAATTGTGGGTTTAGACGTTTTCTATAAATCTGTATCTGAAGGGGAAAAGGCTGCTGCTCCAATAAAAGAAGGAATTGTGCTTTCCTCCCAAATTAAAGCATTTGGGGAGGGAGCTGAATTACCCATGGGCGGCTCCTTGGGTCTGTGTGAGCATTTTCAGGACCTGGACCTTTGCCTGGCCAGTCCGTACAGACGGAGCCTGCCCGTATCTCTGATGGACCAGGGTTTTCCGAGACGCGGTGAGCATCGTGTCTCCGCTATTTCTTTCACTTCCCCTCTGTCCCTGGGTTGCAATCTCTGCCGCATCGCTGCCCATCCCCAGGTGATGTTGGGCTGAGTGCCTGGCTCCCATTTTTGTGGAATCGTAGAGTGGGTTGGGTTGGAAAGGACCATTAAGGGTTGCAGTTGAGCATCCCCTCACGCCATAGCATGGCCCTGCTCAGCTTCCCCACTGCAAAGGTGCTTCCTCCCACTGACAATGGGCCACGTCCCCTCCACTGTGCAGCCCGTGCTCAGCTCAGGAGCTTCTCAGAGGTTGGCTTCTGTGCTGAGCTGCTGCCCTTCAGGCCCTCCGATACCCTTTTGTCCATGCCACCTGCAGAAAGACCCAGCTGCTGCCGCCTCCCACGTCTCTCCAGCTGGCTCTTGGATTCGTCTGCAGCCAGCTTGGAACATTTGGGCCTGGGTACCACTGGTACCAACGATCTCACTTCCCGCTGGAGCTGTCTAGGGGATGCCACAGCGCAAACAAGTCGTGAGGCAGCAAAGCAGAGCCACCAGCATGGTCCAGGGCACGGCCTCTCCCACCCCAGCAGACCCCCGCAGGACCAATGGGCTCCTCGCAACATCTCCAGCCGCATCCCGCTTCTCTCTGGGTGCTGCTCCTGCCCTCCCTGGGCATGATGTGCCATCTGCCGTGCCACGGGATGTCCCTTCAGGCGTGGATTGATTCTATGGAGCCCAATACCTCTCGTTGCAGGTAACGCTGCACACCGGCCTGCCCGTCCCCGAGTTCTACGCTTCGCGCTCGGCCATGCCGTGAGGATGCTTCCGGAGCCGGCTGCCT